AATGCTGTTCGGTTAAATAATCCTGTCGAGAATGAAAATGTTGACGTGTTAGCCTTTCAAGGTAAGCTTTTCATCTTAAAGGAAAAAATCTTAGGCCTTTCCTTGGCCATGAGGGTCCAGATACATACCGCCAATATGGGGTGGGGAGACAGCTTATTTAAAATCCTCTAAGCTGGGCATGGGTGTTTAGAATCCCTGACGATATTCCTTTGTAATTAAAAAATATCGATAGACATCACGCTCTATGTTAATCTTTTGCAAGTGTGCCAACTTTGACAGCATTTGATTTTAAAGGTGACTTGACTGCCAGATAAAGCCATTAAATGTTGAGGCAATTTCACTTTCTGAGGGCTGTGGAGGCTTTTTATAAAGTCTAGAAGAAATTCAGAAAACAGATTTTTATTAGGACAAAAAAATTCGTTTAAAACGATCTTAACAAATTAACTTAGTTGTTCCAGCTTGTGTTTATTATTCTTATAATAAAAAACAAGGTGTTTTAAATACTGGAGGTCAACTACTAAAAGCAGGTCTTGTTCTAAAGGAACTATATTGACTTCAACTTTTTAAGCTTTCTTTACATTTTGGCATGAACTGAAAAAATGTTTGTTGTGGTAACAGATAGATGGAGGGCAGGTTCTCAGGTACATGATGACATGGGCCATCCTTTCCCTTGATAAAGGTATTCTATCTCTATGAGAGAAAATAAATAAGAGGGTGAAACGGTCGGCTAAAGACAAACCTTGGAATATAGCACCTTTAAAACAGGGCATTAAGTACTTACTTTGCCGCTCTTCCCTTTCGAAAGCAGTCTTTCGTCTTTCCGTTAAAATTAGAAAGTAATTAGAAGTAAGATTGAGGTTCGATGTAATAGTCCCCACTTTTGTTAGGACGTATACGGACCTCCAGGACCAACAAAAACTGAGTGAAAACATCATCCTTATCGTTCTAGTAAAATAGATGATACTTTACGTTCCAGTGCGTACTAAAGTATGTTTTAATTCAAAACATTCGTATCGTTAATGCATATGAACTGGCAGCTGTAAATGTTTCTTTTCGACCGAGGAAAATGGGCAAGCAAAAAAAAGTCGTTTTAACCTTTTTCCGATGGTCGAACACTACCGAATTAATAAGAGGTTATTATTTTTGCAGACACCAGACTGGCTTATTTTTTTGTGACTGGACGCGATAATTACTCCCTTCGTAATGTGACGTTTCGTATCAATGTTGATTCGCATCAGAAGAAGCAAATATATCTTTTGTAACAATTTCGATAATTCGAATGCAGTATTTGTTCGCATCTAATTCTTGCGTATACTGTGTACCACTCGCTATAATAAATGCGGCAAATTGGAACGAAATGACACTTTTGAGGAGTGTTGTGTTGTGATTGAAAAGAACATCGACAGAAAGCTTGCAAATAGAATCAGTTACCAAATACGATACAAACGATGCTCAAAAGGAAAGTTTGGTAGGGTCAAATCTGAAAGGTGGATCCATATCCCTTTAACGTATATATGGACGGGGAGTCAATTCCACGGGGTTCCAAATGCTGTGACACCGGCGCAAAATGTCCGTGATTTCTGATAATGACTCTACTAGCTTTAGAGGTGTTTTAACGGTTCAAGTCAAACGTGTCGGACGAGACAGTTCTGTCGACTGTGTTGTTGACCAGCCAGGGCGGCCAATTTGGTCGTGTTAGTGGGGACCCTGGTCAAATGGCTAATTTGGCGGGAGGGCAGGATATTGGTCGAGCTACCTGCTGCCATCTTTAAAATGGTGAAGTAGGAAAAGTGACCCTTATTGCATGTGATTGAGAGAACCATCGTGAATGAATCACGCTGATTTTTAGCTGTATCTCACTAAATGCAACGTTTTGGTGACTTTTTGTGGCAAGAAGCCCGGTTTTGCTTTTGTCAGCTTTTGGCATCAAAACATGTATTTGTTTAACACCAGCTAATTAATTGGGCTGTTCTGGGCTTGATCTCATGAAAAGCACCGTTTTCTTTTTATTGCTAAAGCTAGGCTGTTTTAGCCCGAAAAATATGTTTTTGTTGTCGCTAAATTAACGCCGTTTACAGTTCGATCCTACTAAAGACTGAGTCTTAAGCCTCCATGCGACTAAATTACGTCTTTTCACATTTATCTCACAAAATATTTTCCGCTTGTTTTGCCGCTGGATTGAGTTGTTTTAGCTTTATGACAGCCAAAAAGGTTTTCTACCTGTTTTCAGCTAATCACCCTAATGTTAGCCAAACAACGGTTTTTCCTTTTTCGCAGCTAAAAACCAAGCGGTTTTAAAGCTTTCTAGAACTGAAAACAATGTTTTTTGCTTCTTTGCTCTTGAGTTACGCTGTTTTAGCTTAAGTGCACTGAAAGGAGGGTTGTGGTATCTGCCTAACCAATCACGCTGTTTTTACATTTATCTCAATGTTAACAACGGTTTTGCTTTTTATGGTTAAACTGCGCTGTTTCGAGCTTTTTTAGTCTGGGAAGAAGCTTATCTGCCGTTTGCAGCTATAAATACTAACCAACTTTATCTCCTCAAACAGAGTGAGATAAAAGTGGTATGAATAGATATAGCTAGAATCACGAAACTTTGGCTACAAAAAGGCAAAGACGTTGTGTTCCATCAGATGAGGCTCAAAGCTCTTGAAAGATAAAGCTAAAACTGCTTTGATTCAAGAGCAAACCGGGGAAAAAACCTTTTCGGTGATAACGCTGACGAAAGCGTAATTTAGCAAGAAAAGAAAAAAACCGTTGTTTGACTGGAGATAGCGACAACCAGCGTGACTAGCTGCAAACAGGCGAAACTTTTCCCGGTAAGATAAAAGTTAAAAACAGCTCAATTCAGCGGCAAACAAGTGCAATAATGTTTTACGCACGATAAGGCTTAAAATGGCCTAATTTAGTTGCAAACAAACGAGGACATGTTTCTGGCGCTATGGAGCTGAACAAGTAAAAACGTTTATTTGAGTAAGATATGGCTACAATCAACGTAATTCGCTGCAACAGGCAAAAAACATTTTCCCGATGCAAAAAGAAATTCATAAACAGCGACAAAAGAGCAAAAACGTTGTTTTTTAATGAGATAAAGCTGGAATCAGCGTGATTCGCTGCAAACAGGCAGATAAGCTTTACCAGTGTAAAAAATAGAATATCTGAGTCATTACTAAGATTTGCTCCATCCTTTGCCTTGATTTTGCATGATTTTTTTTTTTATTGCAGTGATGATTTTCTAGGCCCAAGAAATATTTGTTATTATTTTTCTCACCTTCATTATACCATCTCGCTCTGGAACTAATTATGGCTCCTTTTGTTTTTGTACTCAATAATGCTCTCTAATTCCCTTTTCTTCACCCTCAACTGTTCAGCAAGAGTTTCTTTGTCGTTCCAACTGCCTTTAGAGAGCGGCTATATCATTTTCAATATCGGTCTCTTGTTCTTCATTTTCTTTGTTTTCGCCTTTGAGTATTTGATTGAAGTATCTCTAATTTGAAGCTTTATCATTTCCCATAACAACGCTTCGTCTACTATTTCGTCACTTTCGTATTGGTTGACCGTTCCAAGAATTGTCGATTTAATATTGTTTACGTAATCCATTTCCCCCAATAGTGATGAGTTTAATTTCCAAAGGCCTGGTCCTCTGGGATGGGTCTGGTAATTAATAGCGATGTTGCACAAAGAATGGTCCGTTTTAGAGCCGGGATGGATGTCAGCTTTTAAAATTCTTCCGGCGAGACTTACACTTACAAGGAAAAAAATCTAACTGACAATGTATTTCAGGTTTGTTTTATCTCCATGTGTATCTTCTCCCCTCTGGGTTTAAGTCCCGCCATATATCGGTCAGATCAAGATTATCTCGAATATTTTGAATCACTTCCAAGGAATTTCGGTGCGTTGTTAATTTCCCACCCTTTTTGTCCTTCGTGACATCCACAACAAGATAAGGAGCATAAATATTACAGATGGTTAAGATTAGCTCACCGACTTCTAAATCAATAATAATGTACCTCCATTCCTTATCACATATTGGCCTCAAAACCTTGAAGGTAAAGTTGTTATTGAAGAGGATAGCGACACCTGCTATGTTACTTGCAAGGCCACTGAAAAAAGCTTTATAGCCCCATTCAGTGGCCCAAGTCTTAAAAGGACCTTTCAGCACAATGAACCTCTTGCAGCATGTAAATAGAAACCTTTTTGCTTTCTTAACCACTGAAAATTTTTTCTTCGTTTTTTCGTTGTTGCCCAAGCCTTGTACGTTAAGGGATGAAATAGGGTATAATTTCCGCACAGCCCCATACTATTGTAAAACAAATCTGTTTTCCCAAAGGCAATGTACTGTTTTTGTTATTGTTTTCTTTATCCAAGAACTGAATGCATAAATGTAGTATGGGCCGTGGGAAATTTTACCTGAAAATAGTTATGTTAGACATTGGAAGCTCTACTGAAACTTAAATAAATTAGTTGGGTTTCATGCATAAAAGATTTTCCCACTAGATACCCTGTACACCAAAATAGAAACACAAAATAAATATATAAACATGGCCAAACGAATATGCATCTAAAACAAACCCAATTAAATTAACCTTTAAAAGACATACTTTGATTGAGAAGGTCTTCAAGGCAAGCCAAAGTACGTCTTTCAGTGAAGAAATGTCGAGCCTCTTGTCATAAGATTATTCTTGTTATTAGTAAAGCTTTCTGTTCATGATCGTGGTATGTATCTCTGACCCTTAATGTATAGTTTGTCACAGACCGATTTGGCGTCACTCCCCTCTTTTTTGGCTTCTTATAAGACTTTCACGACTGGGGCCTCTTCGTGTTTCCACAATCTCTCGGGGGAAATCTTGTGAAATTCCGAAAACTGTTCCAACGAGAATACAAGCGTTAGATAGTATGAATTCGTTATTCTTGTAGAAACTAAACTTTGCTATGATCGGGCGCGGCTTCTGACCATTTAGATTTCATTTACCAAGTCGATGTACACGTTCTATTGAAATTCACTCAATATCGTCGCCTTTCAACTTCAGTTCGTCTCCTAGAAAGGAGTAAAGCAGCGATTCGGTCTTGACGCTTGTTTCATTCACTTCTTCAGGAATACCAAAAAATATTAAATTATTTCTCCGACTGTGGCTCCCTAATTTTATTGTGCGTTCCTTCTCAAAGCTGGCACTTTTTGTCAAGTTGTTCACACCTTTCTCCAGATCAGAGATCGTCTTTTCTTGAGCATCAACTTGTACAGTCAGAGTTTTGATAGACTCATGAGCTAACTCGAGGCTTTTTTCCAGCTCAGCACTCACTTTCTCCAACTGCTTTTGCTTTTCTTTAATCTCGTCAATTTCTTCCATCCGCGCCAGAATCAGGTCAAGTTTACCGTTCATCTCGGTTATAGTATCGGCCATTCATTATCTTCGGTTTGTGAGCCTGATTGTTTTCTCCTGGCCCTCTTTCGACCTGTCTTTGGAACTTTGTTTCCCGTTTGGTCTGTCATAATTAGTGCCTTTGGCGTCTGGAGAAGTTCTCAAGCCATTTTGAGCGAAATACTCACAGACATTAAAAAGTTGCGTTCGTCCGCTCTGGGGGTCGGTCCCATCAAGTAACGTGCTTCGTGCACACTTTTAGCTATATTTCTTTTTCCCTTCAATGAATTTTTTTTATTTCTTCACTTTAAAGGGGGTAATTAGTACACCGAAATGAAAAATATAGGTCACCGTGCTCATTCAAGAGCTAAAAACCATGGTACCTGGTGCGGATGAATTTTCAGTAATTACTTTTTTGGCACTTTTCGGCTTCCAAATTGCGTGGCGAGAGTAAACCCAAAACCCAAAAAGCAGACCCTTCTTGGTACAATACGAATGTTTTCCAGATAGGGACACGCGTTAATGTCAGCTTTACTCGCGTGATTGCATTTTAAAGGTTAAACCCACGCGTGGAACTAACAACTCAAGTTTACTTTAAAGCGCACAATGTAAGCCAAAGAAATTTTTTATAATTTAACTCCATGATCGAAATTTTGTTTACAAAAGGATAATAATGGATCGACATCGACCTAGAGTGCCAGCTTCACTCGCGGGGAGTCAACCATTTTCTTTTGCCCCTTGCGCAACATAGCATGAAAATTTGCTGACCTACTTTATTGATACACACAACTCGACAGTCGTTAAGAGTTGAAAAAGATGAAGTTTTTTACCAAAACCATGTATTTCCGATTTTTAAACTCTAACAAAAATGTAGTAATGGTATGTCCACTCCGGAAAATAATACTGCAAACAACAGCAAGCCCTAATCGCGATGAGAACACTCATGGATCACACATCGCAACAGAACTCATTTTGTTTGTTTGTGTGGGTTTTACCGATAATATTGGCCTGTAAAGAAATATATAACGGATTTTTTTGCACCCTCCGCCGGCACCATATAATTGGCTAAATGCTATGGAAGTAATTTACTTTAAAGAGATCATTAAAGGAGTAAAATCTTAAAAAAAAATTTTCCTGCAGGGTTTTCCTGGCGCGCCACTGCGAACACAGCGAACCTCATGTGTAAGGCTGCGAGAAAATAAAAAGGACAAGTAGAAAAAGTTCTTTACTCACACATCTCTTTTGCAATCTATGACCGATTTTACATCTCGTGTCTAAAGCAAGAGTTGGAAATGTAAATGCAATTTTATACGTTACGAGATGAGGTATTTTACTCCGCCGTTGGTAATTTTATTCCTATTGTATTTATAATTCGGGATGCAGGTTCCACCGTTTTGACATGGCGAGGAAGAACAGGGAGTCTGAAAACAAAATGAGCATACTGTAATCAACTGTGAAGACTAGTAGGTAATGGTAATAGGACTAAATGGTGTAAAATTCACAATGGTAATAAGACTGAGTGAAGTACAATTCATAATCATGGTAATAGGATCAAATGGAGTACAGTTCATAATGGTAATAAAACTGAGTGGAGTGCAATTGATAATGGTAATAGGACTGAGTGGAGTACAATTCATAATGGTAATAGGACTGAGTGGAGTACAATTCATAATGGTAATAGGACTGAGTGGAGTACAATTCATAATGGTAATAGGACTGAGTGGAGTACAGTTCATAATCATGGTAATAGGACCGAGTGGAGTACAAGTCACAATCATGGTAATGGGACCGAGTGGAGTACAATTCATAATGGTAATAGGACTGAGTGGAGTACAATTAATAATCATGGTAATAGTACTCAGTGGAGTATGATTCATAATCATGGTAATAGAACTAAGTGGAGCACGATTAATAATGGCAGTAGGACCGAGTGTAGTACAATTCATAATCATGGTAATAGGGGCTAAGTGGAGAACAATTCATAGTGGAAATAGGACTAAGTGGAGTAAAATTCATAATCATGGTAGTAGGACTGATTGGGGTACAATTGATAATAGTAAAAAGAGCTCAGTGGAGTACAATTGATAATAGTTATAGGACTGAGTGGGGTACAATTGATAATAGTAATAGGACTCAGTGGAGTACAATTCATGATGGTAATAGGACTGAGTGGCGTACAATTCATAATCATGGTAATATGGGACTGAGTGCAGTACAATTCATAATCGTGGTTATAGGACCGAGTGGAGTACAATTCATAATCATGGTAATGGGACCGACTGGAGTTTAATTCATAATGGTAATAGGACCGAGTGGAGTACAATTAATAATCATGGTAATAGGACTGAGTGGAGTATGATTCATAATCATGGTAATAGGACTAAGTGGAGCAAAATTCATAATGGTAATAGGATCGAGTGGAGTACAATTCATAATGGTTATTAAATTGGAGTACAATTCATAATGTAATAGGACTGAGTGGGAGTACAATTCATAATCATGGTACAGTCGAACCTCGATTATCCGACTCATCGGGACCTCGGTAAATAGTCCGGATAATCGAGAGTCCGGATAATAGAAAATATGAATATTAATAAGATAGAAATGTGAAATAATTATCTGTTTATCTTTAATCAATAGAACGGCTAGCTTTCGCTTCGTAGGCATGTTTTGATTTGCGTTTACGATCGATCGCTCGTCTGTTTACATATTATTTATTGGGCTTCTTGCGAATTTGTGTTTCAAGATCACAACTAATTAACATTCATGGGAAAATTGGGACCAGAGAAGAAAAGTCCGGATAATCGAATAGTCCGGATAATCGGGGTCCGGATAATCGAGGTTCGACTGTAGTATGACTGAGTGGATTACAACCATAATGGTAATAGGGACTAAGTGACTAAGTGGAGTACACTTCATAATCATGTTAATAGGAGTGAGTGGAGTACAATTCATAATGGTAATAGGACTAAGGAGAGTACAATTCATAATCATGGTAATAGGATGGAGTGGAATAGAACTGATAATGGTAATGGGACCAAGTCGAGTACAACAAATAATGGTAATAGGGACTAAGTGGAGTACAATAAATAATGGTAATAGGGGACTAAGTGCAAATAAATAAATAATGGTAATAAGACTGAGTGGAGTACAATTCATAATGGTAATAGGACTGGAGGGATACAATAAATAATGGTAATAGGATGAGTGGGATTACAATAAATAATGGTAACAGGACTGGAGTGGGTACAATAAAAATGGTAATAAGACTGAGTGGAGTACAATTCATAATGGTAATGGGACTAAGTAGAGTACAATTCATAATCATGGTAATAGGACCAAGTGGGTACAATTCATAATCATGAGGCCAGGACTAAGTGGAGTACAATTCATGATGGTAATAGAACTAAGTGGAGTGCAATTCATAATGGTAATAGGACAAAGTAGAGTACACTTCATAATCATGGTAATAGGATGGGTGGAGTACAACTGATAATGGTAATAGGACTAAGTGGGTGCAATAAATAATGGTAAATAAGACTGGGTGGATGCAATTCATAATCATGTTAATAGGACTGAGTGGGTACAATTCATAATGGTTATTGGACTAAATAGAGTACAATTCATAATTATGGTTATAGGATGGAGTGGAGGGGCAACTGATAATGGTTATGGGAAAAAGTGGACTACAATTAATAATGGTAATAGAACTAAGTGGAGTACAATTAATCATGGTAATGGGACTGAATGGAGCACAATTCATATGGTAAAGGACCGAGTGGGTACATTCTACTCCGATCAGTCCCATACCATGATTATAAATTGTACTCCCACTCTGTTTTATTACCATTATGATGAATTCAGCCCCACTCAGTCCTATTACCATTATTAATTGTACTCAAAGCGGTCCTATTACCATTATGAATTGTGCTCCACTCAGTCCTAAGACCATTATTAATTGTACTCCCTCCGTCCTATTACCATTATAAGTTGTACTCCACTCAGTCCCTTAACCATTATTAATTGTACTCCACTCAGTCCTATTACGATGATTATGAATTGTACTCCACTCAGTCCTATTCAATTCAGAATATATGGGACAAAGTGGAGTAAAAATCATCATCATGGTATTAGGACTGAGTGGAGTACAAATAAGAAGTAACTTATGTATGGAGCGAAGTAACTTATGTATGGGCAAGTAACTTATTTGATGGAGCGAACTAACTTTCAAGTGGAGCGATCTGACTTCGGTATGGAGCGATCTCACTTGGAGCGATCTAACCATGGAGCGATCTAACCGGATACCTTATTAATTGTACTCCACTTAGTCCTATTACCATTATGAATTGTACTCCACTCAGTCCTCCAACCATCATGAATTGCACTCCACTCCAGTCCTATTACAATTTATGAATTGTACTGCACTCATGCCTATTACCATTATGAATTGCACTCCACTCAGTTCTATTAACATGATTAGGAATTGTACTCTACTTAGTCCTATTACGATTATGAATCTTACTCCACTCAGTCTTATTAGCATCATTAATTGTACCCACTCAGTTCTATTACCATTATTGATTGTACTCCACTTAGTCCTATTACCATTATTTATTGTACTCCACTTAGTCCTATTACTATTATAAATTGTACTCCACTCAGTCCTATTAACATGATTATGAATTGTACCCACTTAGTCCTATAACCATTATTTATTGTACTCCACTTAGTCCTATTACCATTATTTATTGTACTCCCACTTAGTCCTATTACCATTATTTATTGTACTCCACTTAGTCCCTACCATTATTTATTGTACCCACTTAGTCCAATTACCACTATTTATTATTGTACTCCACTTAGTCCTATTACCATTATTTATTGTACTCCACTTTAGTCCCTATTACCATGATTATGAATTGTACTCCACTTAGTTCTATTACCATTTATTGTACTCTACTAAGTCCCATTACCATGATTATGGATTGTACCCACTTAGTCCTATGACCATAATGAATTGTACTCCACTCTAGTCCTATTAC